CCACACATTCACACCCACAGCCATACCGACATCCATACGCCCACACCCTCATTGGTCGAATCTCTGAACTCGAAAAAGCCTCATTGGCAGGCTGTTCTGCTCAAAAGAATCTGGGTGTGGGCTTTTTGTGGTGGTGGTGTGCGTGTGGACATGGGCGTGGTTATGGGTGTTGATGAGTCGGGTGTGGTTGTGGACTGTGGAGGTGCGGGTATGGATTGGGAAAAGACTGGTCTCAACATCTACGCCCATCCATATCAACATTCATCCCCACACCCACATCTGCCCATACCCACGCCATACTCGACACTCACGTCTACGCCCATCCATATCGACATTCACCCCCACACCCACATCTGCCCATACCCACGCCATACTCGACACTCACGCCTACGCCCACACTCCTCACTCCCCACCCGCATCCTCTTCGTCAGAAATTCTAATTAATCCCTGACTTTCGAACGAGACAATTAGGTTGAAGAAACAAGGAATATTTCATAACAAAGTAGCGGTTGGGAACTGTCCATCGAGAATTCTCGTATTGTAGACCTAAAGATTTTTCGAAGTAAGAGCAGTCTGGAATTCGATAGGGTGTAAGGCAAAGAGGATTATCTTTTGAGGGAATAAGATTACACGTGGCAGCGGCTAGCCGCGAGTGGCGCCCCGAAGGGGCGCCGACGAGCGACTAGCCGCTGCACTGGAAAGTTTCCCGAAGAAAGGCGTCAAGTGTTAGGATTGATCGGGAAAATGCCAAGAATCTAAATCTGATGGGCTTCAGTAAGGGCCGGAAGCGCCAAAAAACTAAAAAAATATTTTCAAGTTAAGTATGAAAACAGTTTTTCTGTATGGGCACTATATCTGAATAGTACATTAGACAGAAAGCAGCACGCAAAGAATTTATATTTACACTGTCGCAAGCAAAATTGAATGAAATAAAATGAATTTTTCTGTTGTTGTGTGTCTTTGTTGGTTTAGAAATTGTATTTTCTTAACTATATTGCCAGCTAATAGAGTATATATGGGGTTTAGATTGCGTCTTGACGTGTGAAAAAGATAAAGTGATAGTGAATAGTACGACCTTTTCCAATTTTATGAAAATATTGGCTTGTTAAGAAATTTTTGTCGTTTTTTTTGCTAAATTTATTTTTATTTTTTCAATACAAAGAATACAACTAGCTTTTAGCGATATATGCTCCATCACTATCTATGACTTGTCGCCAACGCTCTGGTAGAGAAAGGATCCCACTTTCGTAAAAGTCCTGCGACTTTTGGTCAAAGAAGTCGAGAAGTCCCATTTCTAGATCGTATTCGTCGTCGAACTTTTTCTCCTTCAGATAGTTAGAAAGAGAACGGAACAAGTGGTAGTCTGTAGGAGCCAAGTCTGGAGAATAAGGTGGATGTGGAACCGTAATCCATCCAAGCTCCAGTAATTTTTCACGAGTTAATTTTGCAACATGAGGTCTGGCATTGTCATGCAAAAAATAAATTTTATCCTGTTTTCCCTGAAGTTTGGCTGCAACTCGGTCTAATTGCTGGCAATAGAAGTCAGCAGTGATAGTGCGATTAGGTGGAAGAAGTTCCCAGTGAATAATTCCTCTTACTCCCCACCAAACGCTCAGCATAATCTTCTTTTGGTTAGAGTCATGTTTGGGCGTTGCTACACCTTTTTGTCCAGCTGCCAGCCACTGCCGCTTACGTGTATGGTTAACATATAACACCCACTTTTCATCGCCAGTAATAAGATTATTAAGCCATCGGTAGTTGCCGTGAGATGTCATTAATTCCATACAAGCATCAACTCTGTGTTGGAGCTGATGCGGTGACAAATCATGTGGTATCCAAACTCCATATTTGCACGTTTTGCCTAATTCGTGCAGATGTGTTGCCACTGTAACATGAGAGCACCCAAGGTGCTCTGCTAAACAACGTGTAGTTAATCTAGGATCATCTTCGATAAGTTCCTTTAAGCGATCGATATCCACCTCGAGTGGTCTTCCAGTATGAGGTAAATCATCGAGTTCAAAGTTACCGTTGTTGAACTGATTGAACCAACGTTGCGTTGTACGAATGGAGAGTGCATTCGTTCCCATCGTATGGCATATGTTACTTGTTGCTTCTCCTGTTTTGTGACCCAGACGAAATTCGTGAAGCAAAAGAAGTCGAAGCTCTCTACGAGATATATGCAATTCTAGTTCGCTATCAGCGTGTTTATCCATAGTTTTATTGTGGTTCGAGAGATATTTACACCGCCTTTATATACCCTTAATATGGAAATTTCCAGAACTTTCTGAACTGTTCTGGGA